TGCCCAGCTTTCCAGCCTATCCAGGTCATGCTGAATGGCAGCACAGCCTTCCGGTGTGTCTACCACACCTCCCAGTTTGGTGTCATCAGCAAACTTGCTGAGGGTACATTCTAACTCTTCATCCAGGTCGCTGATGAAGAAGTTAAACAAGACTGGGCCCAGTACTGACCCCTGAGGGACACCACTTGTTACCAGCCTCCAACTAGACTCAGCACCACTGATGACAACCCTCTGAGTTCTGCCATTCAGCCAGTTCTCTATCCACTTCACCGACCACTCATCCAGCCCACAATTCCTCAGCTTCCCTAGGAGGATATCATGGGAGACTGTGTCGAAAGCCTTGATTTGTCTGAGCACGAGCTGTGCTTCCCCATGAGAAGGCCACCTGCCTTCAGCCTGCTGTCAGCGCTGTCTGCTCTGCCTGTGCATCTGTCTTATTCAAACGTTTCAGCTGGAAAACACACTGCTTTCACTCTTTCAGTAGAGAAGTTTTAAGTAATGATGGTGGGTGACCTTGTCAGCTGCTTTAAAGGGAAATCTCAGTGTGCAATTGCTGTTCTGTAGCTTGCGGAAAGGGAATTACAAGTTCACGTGACGTTTCGATATGCAACATTTCCCTTCTGCTAAGGACTGATGCGAAGGGGCTTGTGTTGAATCAGTCTTGTTCTCACACTTGGGTCACTTAGTTCCTTTCTTACAACACTAACTGCTTCTACTCTGGCTCTGGTTGCTTAGTGATTTACCAAGAAACTTACTTCTAACATAGGTGCCTGTAATCTTTTACTCAGAGCAACACTAAATGAATAGTAACCAAGAACTGGATTAGTATTGATGGCGAAAGTTAGGGGGTAGTATGGGGCATTCTCCCCTGCCTCATGGTTTCCTGCGCGGTGTTGATTATGCAGGTTTGAATTGTTAACTTACTGTGAGCCATTCCAATGGTAGCAACTTACCTTTCCATTTGTTTTTTTGCACTGTTTTTTTGTTAAGAAATGATGTAAGCTAATTCCACAGTGTATATAAATGGTATTTTTTTTTAAATTTGTATGAACATATTTTTATTTGAACTATGGCACTTGGGAAGTATTCATGTAACCATAACATGTCTGAGAGTAAAATGTTTGTGTGTCTCCTTCAGCACTTTCAAGGCCTTTTGATGTTTCTAGTGCTGTCTTATTTTTGCGCTTTATTATAATAAAACTGGTAGAACATGATAATATCCAAGAATATGATTTGAGGTAGATG